GTAAATGCTCTGTTTATAATAAACAGTATTAACCACCTGTATCCTATAAGGAACAGTCATATAGCCTGATGTGCCTTAACCGATTGGGCCACAGAGGAGCGTTCGGTTAGCAAGGTCAATTTTACACACACACGCACACACACATATATATATATATATATATATATATATATATTGATGTGCATTTGGTTCTTTCATTGATCTGTCCATATATATATACAGTCTTCATTCGCTTGAAGCCATTTTAACCATTGATCTGAGAAAGTGGTGGAGTATTGCTGCCATATATGGTCTGGAGCCCCTTCTGTTTGTCTCAAGGTCCTTGATAAAATGCAGAGACGGATATGCAATGTAAATGGCCCTGATCTGACATCTCGTCTGCAGTCACTCTCTCACAGATGTGCCGTCGCCTCCCTTTGTCTTTTTTTTTACAAATACTTTCACGGTAACTGCTTCGATGAGCTGCTTTCGCTGGTTCCTAGACTTCATGAATTTAAGCATTCAACTAGGCTGGCATCTCGCTATCATCCTTTCACCGTCGAAACTGTTAAATGTAGCCGTCTCTTCTACTCCAATAGCTTCATGTCTTGTACTTCTCGCCTGTGGAACTCCCTCCCCTTTTCCTGTTTCCCTGATAGCTATAATCTCCAACTATTCAAATGTAATATTAATCAACGTCTCCAGATGTCCTGATGTGTCTGCTATCCTTCTCTTCATCCTTTCCTTTATCACTCCTATTTGCTCACGCTCCAACTCTCTGTAACATGTTGCGTGCTAGTGGCTTCCCGCCTTGCTTGGGGTGAAATGCTTAAAAAAAAAATAAATAAAAAAATAAAGCTGGCAGTTTAAATATTTCTGAAAAAGTTTGGGGCTATCCATGACATCCATATGAAAGTCTCGATCTGACGAGCCTTGTGGTGTTGGGCACAATTATCCCTAGTCCAACAGCCTATTCTATGTTCAATTTCCTTATCTCCTAAAGTAAATTTGTTATAACTGATCCATACACCAAGGTATTTGAATTTAGTATTTACTAATACCAAATCCTGAATTTTTATGATCAATTCAGGGAATGAGTCATCATTGCTTTTATTTCAATTCCCGTTTATGTTTTGGAAAAGTTTATCTTTAGTCTAATTCATTGTAACATTTATATATTATGTAGGTATGTAGGTATGTTATTCACAGTGGGACGAATCCAAGAGAAGTTGTAGAAAGCCTTGTAATGGGATGGATGCATAGTTGGTTATGTGATTACCCCATTGTTATGTGTATTTGTAGTTGATAGAGGAATCCTTTACTTTTTTCCCTGAAAATGAAATGAATAAAAATATACAATAATAACAACAATAAGACTTTGAGACACATTTTGAAATGACAAGAACGTGTATTTTTCTTTTTGTGATGTTAATTACAGATATTGGTATTGTGTTTGTTAAAAATTGTTCCTTTAAAAGTTTGTGCTTGTTTTTGCTTGTTCTAAGAATTTCATGGTTATGGGTAGCCTTTGAAACCATCAACTGTGGATTTTCATGGAGTGTAGAAGATACATCTGCATTGTTCTTTTTACTACTGTTACTGCTACACTACTCTACTGACTCTACATTCCTGACCCTACTTTCCCTATTTGTGGTGAATGAGTCGTTATTATAATAAAGTTTCAGATTTTAGAATCATATAACATCACTGGTGGCCAGGTTGTTTTTTAGAATGATGAAATATCATCATCATTGTGAAACATAACAGCTTATTTCAGGTCTATGTAGATCTTACCATGACCTTTGACACTGTAAAAAGAGAACTTATGTGGAAGATCTTGAGATACTGAGACTGTTCCCCACCCCTATTTCCTGGATATCATTTGGGCATTTCATGATGACATGGAGACATCTGTTAACATTGATAGTTTACTTTCATGACCCATCATGTTATAAACTGGTGTCAAGCAAGGTAACCTTGTAGCTCCAGACATTGTTCTCCATTTTCTGTTGCTCTTCTCTGTACATTTAAGGACTGTGACCAAGGTATCTATACTTGATATCATCCAACTGTTAAACTAGTCAACATCCAACGCTTCTCTGCTAAATCTAAGATAATCCAAATTCTTGTTTGAGACCTTCTCTATGCTAATGATTGTGATTTAGCCACCAAAACAAAATGGGAGACATAAGCTCTGATGGATGACATTTTCAGTTTCTCCAAAGCTTTCAGCCTGACCAGGTTCACCTTACACCAAACCATCAATATTTGTGGATGGATAACCTTTTCAGTTCCTTCTCCGGGTTTACCTTAGATGGAACAATCAATATTTGTGGATGGCCAAAAACTGAAGTTAGTAGTCAAATTCACATACATTGGGAGCACAATAAACAAACACTGCTCTCTCAATGATGAAGGTGGTACCTTGGGACCACTATAAACAGAGGCTACAGCCTTGATCAATTCTTGATACCCATTTGATAGTCGTATAGTCGGCACCCATTCACATCCGCTCTCCCCCATCTGGTGGCAGTAGTGGAGATGGCTGTGAAGGCCCCACCTACTCCTGAGGGTCATCATCCTCTCTCCTTATTTGCTTTCTCCACTCTGGTGGCAGTAGTTGAGATAGCTGTGAAGGCCCAGCTAATTCCAATAAGAACCACTGGGAGGGTGAGGCCACTTAGCCATTGTTAGGACATCTCCCTAGGAAAAGGAAGTTTCTGATGTAACACCAGCAGCACGCTAGCAATCGATGATGTTGATGCCCTTTTCTTTTCAAATCTTTCCTTGTGTCACTCAGAGAGTGGGATTGATCCTGTGTAACATCTTTGTTCAATTTAAAAATGCACTGACAAAATAAGTCAATTTATAAAGTCATTAAGATCTTCCAAGAACTTGCAAGGAGTTGGGCAAATGTCAACTTAGTTTCCTGCTTTTGCAATAAGAATCGCTAGTTACTTGCTAGCTTCAAGAGCCATTGTTGACCTCATGAAATCTAAAAGCATGGCTCAAACTTGTCAGCAATGGTCATACTCATTTAACAAGTTGACAGACATCATCATGTATGTATACATGTATGTATGCTTTTCCTGGGTATGATGATAAACTATATCCGGCAGCAATGCTTGTGATTGGGAGATTGGAGGTTTTGAGGAGTGTGGAAGCATCTCTTAATTGCTTTTGTTCCCAGGTCCACCCTGACTCAGGGTGCTAGCACCTATTAGGATCCAAGCTACAGCCAAATAGTAAACCTGATGGATTAAAGTCATGCATCGTCACCCATAAGAACCACTGGGAGGGTGGGGCCCCTTAGCCATTGTTAGGACATCTCCCTAGGAGAAGGAAGACTTTGATGTAACACCAATGGCACCAGCTAGTTATCGACGATTTTGACATCCTCTTCTTTTTGGATTTTTGCCTGTGCTGTTCAGAGAGTGGGATTGATTCTATGCACCATCTTTCTATACTTTATAAATTTCTTGTACAAGGGAAATAATTGAAGGTCTAAAATTCTCAAAGGCATTAAGATCTATCAGGGCCCCAGCTATGGGTAAATAGCAAACCCCCAAACACAATGTAAATATCTGTTGATATTTCCGAGATGAGGTATTGTAATTATTTATATTATTTACATTGTTTGGACTGTTGTCCTCATCTTTATTGCCATATTCATGAAATTTAGATGTGGTAAGCATGGCAGACTATGTCTCTCTGATGAAGACCTTGTTAGCTACAAGAAAAGCCCTATTTCTCGACCTTTGACAAATTACAATCAGTACTATGCTGGAAATGACAAGCAGGGTGTATCTGAAAACCTGCAGAAAGCACTCTGATCTTACCTGTCACATGAAAATCCACAAGCATGCTGAAAAGAGTTTATAAAACAGGCCAGGATCTGTACAAAGCAAGTTAGTTCATCATTAAGCATTACAAGTCACTTGCAAGCTTTAAGAGCCATCATCATTCTCACAAGAACCAAAAGCATTGATCAGGAATGGTCATACTTGTTTAACCCATTAAAAATATATATATATATATATATATACTACCACTTCCCCTAAAATAAGATACCTTATGCCCCCACCAATCGCTAACACAAACCCACTCCCATTAACAAGGTGCCTACGAGAGACAGGCTTTGAAAAGTACATAAATAAGCACTCCGAAGACAAGTACTTAGTTGCTGACAAAGACAAGTACTTAGTTGTTGACAAAGACAAGTACTTAGTGGCTGACAAAGACAAGTGCTTAGTGGCTGACAAAGACAAGTGCTTAGTGGCTGATGAAGACAAGCACTTAGTGGCTGATGAAGACAAGTACTTAGTGGGTGACAAAGACAAGTACTTAGTGGAAGATGAAAGCCATTAAGGGACAGTTTGATATAGTCTATTCCGATGTTGATGTAATTTAATATGAAATCACCCTTGTCAAGGTTGAACATGGAAGTAACAGCTTTTTTGTTGCACCTAGACTGGGTACTTTGCAGGAGAGAAGTTCACCCAATTGCTTATTCTCCTAACCACTTCTCTGCCAATAAATATGATTTTAAAAGGCTCTTTAATCATAACCTCCCCTGGCTCTAACAATAAATTTACTGCTATTATTGCTATTATCAAGTGATCATTTCTTGTTTTCATATATGCGGCATTTTGTACAATGAATTTCATTTGTTGTGATAAAGATCTCAAGTCTGGAATTTTAAAATCTTTAGAAATGAAATTGCTCATATGATATGACTGACTGTTTCATTTGAAGTGTTCCAAAAATCTATTTGTAAAAACTGCTACAACCTCTGTCCCATAATAGTTGCTACATTTAATGTATGGATTGTATATGCAAATGTACCAATTATTATAGGACAGAGTTACCATTAATTAAACAATGCTACCTCTGTCTCATAAGAGTTGATACATTTAGTATATGAAATGTGTATGCAAGTGTACCAATTATTTTGGGACAGTATTTCTCTTCTGTTTTTTTTTCCCTTTGCTTTCATTATTTTCCCTAATGAATTCTTGCAGGCCCCTCTGAAGTCAATTGTTCAAGAGGTTCAGCGACAAACCGCCGCTGCTGCCGTGGCAACTACCTCTGCAGTGGTCAACCCAGCCACGAATTCGACCAGCGTGTCATCTGCGATGTCTTTGTCAGGCGACTCCCAACAGCAAGCCCTACCTCAGCCCCAGGCACCCCCATCTTTACCGGCAAGCTTGCAAACCCATGCACTCACACCCATGACAGACTCCAGGACTCGCATGAGAATATGCACGAAGGAGATCGTTTGTCTTCTTCCTACATGCATAACGTCGATTCCAATCCCACGGCGCTATACCAGGCGGATTTTGGCTGAGAAGGGCCTCGTTCAGAAAATTCGTATTGCTACCTATTGGACCGAAGAACAGATCAAGAAGGAGATTTCTATGCTGTTTCGGAAGCCATACGGACTTCAACAGGGTGAGATCCTCCCTTTCGACTACTTATGTACAAAGCCTAACTGTAAGCGATTGGTCAGGGCGTCAGCATCGGATTCCGTCCAGTGGGGTGGTCAAGAAGTAGCCAGATTAGCCGGTCAGGGATGTCTGTATATTGTGTCCAGAATACCTCTATATACAAATACAATGGTGAGTATTACATAATCTGTATTCAACCACTGAGGTAAGAAAAAAATACACCTCTCAATATTGTTATTTTATTTCTGCATATCATATATTATATTATACAATATTCATAATGGTTTCTATGAGCACAGTGTGCTTTTTTAACGATCGAAAGCAAATGCTTTTATTGAACACAACACTGGAAAATCTGACTTGCAGTTGCATAAAAATCACAGAGACTGACACGACTACAACAAAAAACAATACGCTGGCAAAAACTGCTGGTGGCACCAGGAGTGACAGTACAGCCTTAGCAAACAAAACTGTGTTACCTCCCCAGGTTGGCAGCAGGGTATCACATGCACTTTCACACATATGTAGAAAAAGAAATATATATATATATATATTTTGTATATCATTATAATATATATATATATATATATATATATATATATATATATATTTGTGTATATCATTGTAATATATATATATATATAATATATATTGTAATATATATATATATATATATATATATATATATATATTTGTGTATATCATTGTAATATATATATATATATAATATATATTGCAATATTTCTATATCTATATATATATATATATATATATATATATTTGTGTATATCATTGTAATATAGCAACAACTCTAAGAAGAAACTTATGAAGCTTTATTTCACTAATTCAGCTTTACCCTAAACACGTTTATTATAGTGGATGGTTACAATTGAGAGGGGAGATGGGATGTACTTATTTTAATTCCACAATCATATATATATATATATATATATATATATGTGTGTGTGTGTGTGTGTGTGTAATAAGGAATGATTGTCCATATCAACAGTTTAACCAGTCAGTCAGTTATGTGCCATGCGTGATACATGCTTAGGCGATCATGTATCTTTTGATACATGACTAACAAGGCAGATTTTTTCCCACAGTAGGTTGCCATTTCTTTCTGTGGTAGGCCAGTTGCCATCCAAGGCTATAGAACCCAATCTGTCCTACTATTTACTCATAGCTAGGGGGAGAAGAAGAGAATTCATACCTTTCCCAAGGGTATTAGCACATAAGTGAATGTAATGGATTCGAGTGGAATTTGAACTCGGCTCTCCAATTCCTCAATCCGAGCTGCTATCCATTACTCTACCGTAATTATAAGGAAACTATCAAAGACAATATCTGTTTCACTGCAGCCTCACATTTCAACCAGCTGGACCATAATGCATCGTTTTCACATCTTCATTTAAATGCAAAAAAATAATAATAATAATTGGGTAAACTTCTCTCCTGCAAAGTACCCAGTCTAGGTTCAACCAAAATATCAAAAGTCCAAGTTAAAATATATTTTTAAAATAAATTCACACATTCTAGGATTAAGCAGGAATTTAGGTATATTCAAGGAATGCAGTTTCCACAGAAAACCTTCTAGAAACCCCCTAAAACCTTAACTGTATCAAACAATGAGTCCCAAACTATCAGAATTCTTTGGTAACACAAACGGAAAAAAAAAAAAAAAAAAAAATTCCCCACCCCCAGAAAAGAAATTCCGAATCCATTTTTCATTGTCTTTCTACTTGTCCCATTGAGATTATCTAAAAATTCTGATTTTTTCAAAATTTTTCTCGTCATACTTGCAGTTGGCCATTTAGGCCAATTAAGACACAATGAATATTATTAGTTTTATTATTAATATTATTGCTTTTGTTGTTATTTTTACCTTTCAACTTTCTTTCATCAGCCTCTTATATCACGATCGTGAATCCCAAGACCCTTCAGGGTTGTAGGGACACCACGCCCACTGCAGCCACACTAGAAGTGGTGTTTCTTAGTCAAGATAGCCTGACGGAGCCCATCCCTCTCCAGGATGGGTTTAGAAGAAGATTCATACATTTCCCGACATTATTAGCACATAAGTGAATATAATGGATCTGAATGGAATATGAACTTTGCTCTCTGATTCCTCAATCTGAGCCACTATCCATTTCTCCACCATGCATTTTATATATATATATATGTATATGATTAGAAGATATATATATATATATATATATATATATATATATATATTTGGTTGGATTGATGTGAGTTTGTGACCCTGGGTTTCACGCTTTTGCAATCGTCAGACAAATATATTTATATTTATATACACACACTTTTCACACACACACACACACATATATATATATATATATATATATATATATATGACTAGAAGATATCTATCTATCTATCTATCTATCTATCTATCTATCTATATATATATATATATATATATATCCAAATATGGGTTTTTTTAACATTTTTGCTTTAATCTAATATAATATACACACACACACACATACATATATATATATATATATATATATATTGTGTGTATTTAGGCAGCATTTTTTCATAGATGACAAATATATGCACAAGTTTGTTGTTGCTTGGAAGTCTTCCATGCAAACAAAAACAAACTATCATTATTGTTTTATCCGTGTATTGTTTAATATATTGTAATGTAATTGTCATCTTTGATAATGGCTTATATAAGCTGAAAGCTTAGATAGGATTAAAAAATATGTATCAATATTGTGATTTTCTTTCATCTTTCAATGATAATGTTATTAAGCTTATCAGACGATATGAAAAGAATTTCCATAAAATAAATAGAGAAAACTTGTCTATATTATTTAATGAAACATGCATCAATATATATATATATAATAATATCAACTGATAATTAGTAGGGATAATTCCCAGGGGGAGACATTAAACCAAGAGAGCTGAAAGTAACAGAGTTTTATAATAATGAGTAGAGACGACCCTTAAAAATCCCTTTGGTTATAATTTATTTCCTGAATACAGAAATATTCATCTTTTCAGACCAAAGTTTTTTTAATAAATGGAATCAATTTATCCAGATTAAAGGAAAAGGGAGTGGAAAAAAGAAAAAAGAAACTAAAATGACACCATTTTTAATTATTCCAGTAATAGTAAAGAGTTAACAAAATAAGCCATTATATTTGATAGCATGTGTAAATGAGTAATAATATAATCGACAACATGACATAAAGTCGGGGTTCTGTTTTTTATTCTTATTAAGTAATAAACTGATCCCCCATACAGAATTACTATAATGATTAGAAAATTAGATTAAAATAACACACATGAGAAAGCCTAATGATATTCAAGATATATTTTTTGATGACATGGATTAAACAGTATTTATATGAGATTCTATACCCCCTAGAATTACTACAAATTCATATTTTTTAAACAAATATATTTAAAGATATACCTAATTTAAAGATAAAACCTAATAATTAGTCAGGATTTATTAAAATACGCCTTCTTTTTTAATATAAGATTCTAATGAACATAATGTGGGGGATCGTTTTTTTCTATAGTACCCACGCAAATATACACAACTAAATCAAGTATACCAGTTACAAATATGTACTCAAAATTACCTGAGCACATTAAATTTTGGAGATATGTACATCGTATTATCAAATAGTACATCTTTTATATGTCCCTTCATAATTAGTAAGTAATCTTATGTCTTAATATCCTTTCCAGTTGCTATTACTAATATAAGATTCTAGTGGACATTAAGTGAAGGATCTGTTTTCAATTGTGTTAAATTAATAAAATGATCCCCTGCTTATTAATATAACTGGAAAATATCTTTAAATAGATGTATATGAAAACCTTTTAATAGTAGTAAGGACTATTTTTTATGAAATTGGTAAACACGTATTATTATCACATTCTACTGAACATAAAGTGGGGGTTCGTTTTTCTATTGTTATTTAATAATAAACTGATCTCCCTGACTATGTGTCAACTTAGGGTTTTAAAATCATTCAGTGTGCCCACAGCATACGTCAATATACCTGTTCTACAATATATTTTATTTTAAGACATTTTATGTTTGCACATTCTTTTTTATAGATACAAATATTTAAGTAAATGCTCTGTTTATAATAAACAGTATTAACAACATTTACCAGCCTGAATGTCTGAGAAATTTTCATAGAAAATATGTGTCCTCAGACAGGAATTGAACCTGTATCCTATACAGAACCGTTGTATAGCCTGACGTGCCTTAAACGATTGGGCCACAGAGGATCATTCAGTTAGCAAAGTCAATTTTACTGCTTTTAAACTACAATCTTCGATGATTCTCTCACGTACATTCATATCCGCTCATGGCATATCCAAATGTAAACAAATGACGTCACACATTATGAAATGGACAAAGTCCGACAATTATGTCTTAAGACATTTTTATGTTTATACATTCTTTTTTATAGATACAAATACTTAAGTAAATGCTATGTTTATAATAAACAGTATTAAACAACATTTACCGGCCTGAATGTCCGAGAAATTGTCATATAAAATATGTGTCCTCCAACAGGAATCAAACCTGTATCCTATACGGAAGCCGTCATATAGCCTGACGTGTTTTACTGATTTAGCCACAGAGGAGCATTTCAGTAAAGCACGTCAAGCTATATGATGGTTCTGTATAGGATACAGGTTCGATTCCTGTCAGAGGACACATATTTTCTGTGATAATTTCTCGGACATTCAGGTCAGTAAATGTTGTTAATACTGTTTATAATAAACAGAACATTTATTTAAATATTTGTATCTATAAGAAGAATTTATAAACATAAAAATCTTAAAATAATTGTTGGACTTTGTCCATTTCATAATGTGTAATATATTTTATATAGTAATATCTACAATAAGATGTGAAGTACATTAATAGAAATAAACTGTTTTAAAAGGTTTTTTAAAAAGTTTTTATTATTAATGGGAGTCCAACGAGTGAGCAGTTTTGAAACAAATATCTTGTTTGCTTTGTAGTAGTTATTGGTTTGGACTTTGTGATGTTACCTGTGGCTGCGTGCCATTGGAAATTGCTTGGCCTGCCACAGGTTGCCAAGCCCTGGTCTACTGGACATAAAGTGGGGGTTTGATTGTTTATTCTTATTAAGTAATAAACTGATCACCCATTAATTTCCAACAAAATCTGTCACCTTTTTTTATAGAATTGATAAACAATTAATATCACATTCTACTAGACATAAAGTGGGGGATCGATTTTTTATTCTTATTAAATAATAAACTGAATTATAGACAAAATATGTTGTCACTTTTATAGAATTAATAAACAATTAATATCACATTCTACTAGACATAAATTAGGCATTTGGTTTTCTATTGTTATTTAATCATAAACTGATCCCCCCATGAATTCAAGATTTTTGTTCAAGGTCTGACCCCTGATTTAGACTGTTGTCAGTGAAGATAGGCAGGTAAGTAGGTGGGTAGGTAAATAAGCAGAAATACTAACTTCATAAGAGATACTCACTTCTTGACGTCTTTAGAATTGTCTGAGACACTTTGTGCGAAGTGGGTTTCTTATTGAATGAATTAGCAATTACCCACCCATCCTATTTGGATTGAGTCAATATATTTGCATAAATGTTTGGCACAAAGTCACAAGTATGAGGCACTCAGTGAGGATCAAACTGAATAACTAGTAATGGTCGCCCAGACTAATGTTAACCATTACCCCATGTCAAGTTGTCCTTTTTTTTTTAATATGCTGTTGTCATTTTATAAGCTTACCTGTTTGACACAAAGCCACAAATATGAGGCACCTAGTAAAAAGCAAAATCACTACTAAGTAGTAACAATCAATCAGACGAGCTCATTAATCATTTCCTTTGCTCATTTTTTCGTACACTGTCAGCAGATGACTTTATTAAATCAACAGTTTTCAGCATTCTCAGACTGAAAAAATTTCTGTCAAACTAATGTGAACGAATCCCATGCCACAAGCTTGTGGATATTAATATGCTAAACAATGATTTTACTGTCAGCATTTATTGAGTTAATAATTGTGAGTTCAATCCCTGAGTCAAGTAGTAGAAAACTCAGACTCTATAGAAACAGAATGAGGAATAAGCAAGTCATAATGAAAAGAGAACAAGGTGAGATATCCCCAGACATTGACAACAGAACAAGAGCAATTTCCCCCATAGATTAAATAAAGGGTTGAAATTTCCTGAAGGTTACCTGGTACTACAGGCACTTGTAGAAGGCCAGAGGATTTAAGTAACTCAAAAAAAAAAAAATTTTTTTAAAAATGTAAAATTGAAAAATACAAATTACTAAATACATTATTTTATACTGTACTAGCAGCATGGCCCAGCGTTGCCCATGCTTGATTCAAAAATTGTACGACTCATACAGCAATCGCTATCACTTGACTTAAAATATTTTTGCCCTTCCTTGCCTTTAAAGGAGTGCCCTTTGCTGTGCTGATGTTGCTACATGCCTTACTTCTTGCCTATCTCACACTGCAAATTTTTTCTAAGCTCCATATTAAACATTAAATCTGTTCGGAAAAAAGAACTAAACAAAATGAACACAAAACGATCAGCTTTAAAAAGGACTCGTAACTGGAAAAACCAAATGAAAAAGAATGTTAACAACAAATACTTTTTCACACCCAACCCAGTTCTATGAATCCGAATCAACGTTGAGTTTAAGCAAGTTTAATGAGCCAATTGGAGTAAAGTGCCATGCAGATTTAAATTTTTCCCACTTGTGATGAATGCAGCTATCGATTTTTTTTGCATGCTAGTTAACATTCGTGTCAGTCAGCTGTTGGCTCTCACGCTGGCCAATAGAATCTTCCTGCCTATTCGTGGCAGCCAGCTATAGGCTCTTACTCTGGCCAGTAGAAAATGGCCGCAAACTACATGAAAACTGCCGTAGAAGCATGAAAAAATCGATTATTTCCACTATCAATGGGAGTTGGGAAATGCAAGGTTGGTCTTGGCCTTCCTGCTAACTTGGAGCATGTGCATGTAAATCTTGGTGCAAATCTGTTGAAAATTGCGGCTATGCATTCATTACACACACACACACACACACATCCTGCCTTTTATAGATTGAGATTTTACCAATTTTGACAATTCTACTAGTTTGGATACATTTAAATTTTTTTTTCTTAATCGAGTTTGCCCTGAGCAAGGCAGTAAAGCCACTAAGACACAAGGGGTTACAGGGTGTGGAAGAATTAGGAACAGAAACATTAATAATGAGCGTGAAGAGGAAAGAGTAATCAGGAGGACAGTAGATAGCAATTGACATGGAATTTATTTTTTTACGGATTAACGCCGGCTGGAAAACATGGAGTCGGAAGAGAGTTCCACACGCAAGAAGTGTGAGAAAAGAAACTTACGGCTATATCTAGCCAGCTCAAATGTACATTGATGAGATCTCGACGCCAGTCACTTAAATTCAAAAAGTCATGGTACCATAATGATGGGTGATATTTATTTGTAAAAATACAAAATGTGGTACAAGGCCAAAAACGGGGAATAGGGAAAAGGACTGTCTTTGTCTACAACTACTATAATACCTCAGAGTCTCTATCAAATTCTAACTAGTCCCCATATGTATAATTCATTGAATGTCAAAGAGGGGGATATAACAACAATTTAAAAATAAGAAATGAAGTGAAGTGAAGATCTTATTTGAATACTTTATCACGAAAGTATTTATAGAAAAGGGAAAGGGGGGCAGTTTTATGGCAATGGAAAAGAGACTGAAGCCGAGATGCCAGAACAGGGTTAATAATATTGCTGATTCTTCTTTTATCAAGGAACTCCAGGTAAATAGCAAGAGCACTGGACCATATGTAGCAGCAATATTCTCAGCATGGACAAATAGCCCTTCTTTTCCTCTTTTTTTTACTTTAGTTTACCTAATACAAGGCCCAAGTCCACTCAAGGTAGAGTATTACAGAGCAAGATTGTCACAAATGAGTGGGGGGGGGAGGAAGAAGTACATATGAAGATATGGAGGAAAGTTATTGGTTGACATTGGCAGTGATTTAGATTTTAGTGGTTAAAGAAGCATCCCCTTGGGAGTCTGTTCCACAAAGTAATAGTTCTTAGAAGATTGATTGATTGACGTGTTTGTTTAATGGCATATCAACTCCTTATGGGTCATTTCATAGTGAGATTTAATTTACTTGAGAACTTTGAAGTAATTTAGTAATATTACTATACATATGTATTGTTGGTAATTCATTATATAAAAATGCATTTTTATACTTTCCTTGTTTACATTATTTACATTGTTCAAACTGTTGGCCTCATCTTTATTGCTATATTCACGATGTTTCAGCCATTGTACGCTCAAGCCTTTTTTCAGGATCTGTCTATATTTCTGAGATGAGGTATTGTAATTATTTACATTGTTTGGACTATTGTCCTCATCTTTATTGCCATATTCATGACATTTTGTCTGTTGTATGCTCCGACCTTCTTCAGGTGATTGGAATTTCAAACTGAAGCTTTTATTTCATCCACCAGGATAGACAGTTCTAGTTCCACGTGCCATGCCTCTTCCAAATGTCTCAGTTAGTTCCCTTTAATTCAACTTGCCAAGTTTTTGTTCATCACTTCAGTAGCCAGGTAGTGAACTCACAACGTTTTGGGTCAAGTTACTGGATCCAACCAACGTTTTTATCCACTGGGACAATGTTGTGAATATGGCAATAAAGATGAGGACAACAGTCCGAATGTAAATGTAAATAATCTAGATAATTACAATACCTCATCTCATAAATATCAACAGATACTTTCATTTTGTTTGGGGGTTTGCTATTTACCCATAGCTGGGGCCCTGATAGATCTTAATGCCTTTGAGAATTTTAGGCCTTCAATTATTTCCCATGTACAAGAATTTTTTAAAGTATAGAAAGATGGTGCATAGAATCAATCCCACTCTCTGAGCAGCGCAGGCAAAAATTCGAAAAGAAGAGTATGTCAACATCATCAATAGCTAGTGTGCCACTGGTGTTACATCAGAGTCTTCCTTCTCCTAGGGAGATGTCCTAACAATGGCTAAGTGGCCTCACCCTCCCAGTGGTTCTTATTGGAATTAGCTGGGCCTTCACAGTTATCTCAACTACTGCCACCAGAGTGGAGAAAGCAAATAAGGAAAGAGGATGACAACCCTCAGGAGTAAGCTGGGCCTTCACAATCATCTCCACTACTGCCACCACTGGTGATGGGGTGCTGATGAGTGACCTTCATCTGCCAGGTTCACTATTTGCCCATAACTGAGGCTCTAACAGGTGCTGACACCATGGAGTATGGTGGCCTGGGAACAACAAGAATTAAGAGGTGATTTCACACTCCTCAAGACCACCAACCTTCTGATCAGAAGCCTTGCTGCTGGATGTAGTTTATCATCATACCCAGGACTACTTAGAGGAAGAAGTTGTTTGAATGGATCTTAATAGTTACCAAAAGAACACACAAGGAATGGGGATGATTTTTTGACCATTTCATCAGCACGATTGCTCCTAGCCATGAAGATCTGAGCTGGTGGGATGAAGGGACATAACATTCAAACATTTGTCATAGTGACAGACTGGTGACATGCAAGCAACATTTTATCTGAGAGATCAGCGTTGCAAGGTGGAAAATAATTCCTCACCCACCAGGCTGTGTGACCACTTTTGAACTCTATGAAGGCTTAGACTTAGGATGGGACAGCTCCAACCCAGATATGCCAGCAATACTCCATTCTTGGTTTGATCTGACTCTTGTAAAGATGAAGCATGGCAAGTATTTTATGGGTCAATATAAGGAAATGACCATTCTTCCAGCATCTTTGGTGATGACATGAATATACGAAATCATATATTCCTATTAAATTTACCTTGAACCGAAATATTTTCTGTGCATATCTAAAATATTCTGATGTTCTAGATCAATTCTGAATAAATATTTATAATCAGACTTCTTGATTCAGTCTAAGAGACATGTTTTTACCCCAGGCGAAAAATGTTTGTTCTCCCGGTGGTAATAATCTGTCGATCACAGCATGCTTTATCAAATTATATTATAATTCTGCTTCTTTCTTCTTTCCTTCCTTCCTTCCTTCCTTCCTTCCTTCCTTCCTTCCTTCCTTCCTCATTCCTTCCTCCCTCATTCCCTTCCTCCTTTCCTTCCTCCCTTCCTTCCTTCCTCATTTCCTTCTTTCCTTCCTCGTTCCCTGCCTTCCTTCCTCCCTCTCTTCTTTCCTTCCTTCCTTCCTCATTCCCTACCTTCCTTCCTTCATCATTCCCTACCTTCCTTCCTTAGTTCCTTCCTTCCTCCCTCATTCCCTTCCTTCCTTCCTTCCTTCCTTCCTTCCTTCCTTCCTCATTCCTTCCTTCCTTCCTTCCCTCATTCCCTTCCTTCCTTCCTCCATCCTTCCTTCCTTCCTTCCTTAGTTCCTTCCTTCCTCATTTCCTTCCTTCCTCGTTCCCTACCTTCCTTCCTTCCTTCCTTCCTTCCTCCCTCTCTTCTTTCCTTTCTTCCTTCCTCGTTCCCTACCTTCCTTCCTTCACCATTCCCTACTTTCCTTCCTCCCTCTCTTCTTTCCTTCCTTCCTTCCTCACTTCCTACCTTTCTCCCTCATTCCTTTCCTTCCTTTCTTCTTTCTTTGTTCCCTACCTTCCTTCCTTCCTTCCTTCCTTCCTTCCTTCCTTCCTTCCTTCCTTCCTTCCTCCATACTTTATTCTACTAACAATTATATAGAAGAAAATTACTTATTTCATGGATAAAATGCATATTTATTTGTTCACATCATTACATTTTTTCATGAATGAAAGACCATCAGCATTCTTTCATGTTTTGCCAATGACATCAATTGTGCTTAACAAATAGTTGTATTTTGTTTTCGATACTTATGGACGTTGGATATGCACTTCACGCTTGCATATAAGAATAAATAATTATGCCCATCACATGAGATATTTTATACTCACTATACTTAATTTATACTAATTTATAATTAATTTATACTAATTTATAATTAATTTATACTAATTTATACTTAATTTATACTAATTTATACTAATTATACTTAACTGAATTAAATTGCTGAAGGAAAGTAGGGCAACATATTTTCACTGCTGGGGGTAACTTGAAGTAAATAATATGGTTAGGTAGGAAATGGTAATAAAAAATGTGTGACAAAGAATATTTTTAAATGGCAGCAAAAGTGGGGAGAGAAGATTTGGTTTGTTTTGTTTTATGGCATATCAACACCTCAATGGGTTATTTAATGCCGACAAGATTTTTATTGCTGGTATTATTTTGTTTTGTCAAATATCTATTTCTGGTAATATTTTTTTCTCCTCAAAGATGTATTGTATAGCTGGTAATATTGTTTTAAAAAATGTATTGCTGGTAATTTTTTTTTCAAAAATATATTGCAGGTAATATTTTTTTTTCTTCAAAAATTTATTTCTGGTAATAATTTTTTACAAAGTATTTCTGGTATTAAAACCTATTTTCACACTTTCATAATGATTTTTACATCAGTTTTGGGGTTAACTATTTGCCCATAGCTGGGACCCTAACAGGTGCTACCACCCTAGGTCAGGATGGACCTGGGAACACCAGCAATTAAGAGGTGGTTCTACGCTCCTCAAAACCTCCTGATCAGAGGCCTTACTGTTGGATGTAATTTATCGTCTTACCCTGAACGTGGATGTAGTTTATTATCATACCCAGGATGGTGGGGAGAGAAAAGGAAAAGTATATGACTTATACAGGTATTTTAAATAATACAACTCAGTTTAAAAAAAAATGTTGTTACTGTTTTATTTTTACTTGTAAAATTTGATTCATATTCATAATTTAAATGTTATTTTCAGTGCAGAAATTTTTTTTTTTAACCTTACGTTTGAACGTAAGGTTAAAAAAAAAAATTTTTTTAATTTACTAACCAGGTTCACTTAAAATTAGAACAAATTATATCACTTCTGCACTACCGTATGATAAATTCCCTTGACGTAAGTTGTCAATATATTGATGTACATCAATTAACGCCCCTCAAACACACGCTAAAGCAAGCACCACGGTTGGAAATATCTTTATTAAAAAATTTTCTGCTAAAAAAGTAAGTAATGTTTCTTTCAAATTACATTAAGTATACTTTAATCATTCTAAATTTCCTAAGATAATAAAAGAAAAAGGTGTAACTGAATTTTACATGATTTTTGTTTGATACATTTGATTTTTGTTTACAAACTCGAGCAGAAATGGCCGATAAGATCGAATTTACGAAATTTTTTTCACTCGAGAAAAACGAGATTTTTAAATAAAATTTTTAAAATTTATAGGAAGGATTAAAAAATCTGAGAAAATATTCAGAAAATTCTTTGGTCTTCCCTCTTTTTTTATCAATTTGGGGACCTTTTTTCTCCAGGGTATACCACTTTTAGCGTTATATGGAACAGACCTATAACACATTGAGTGCCAACCGCTAGTTATCTCATGATTGGTAGTTTTTATTATAATGCCAACCATTCTGTGTTTGGCATTTTTGGATACATTTCTATCTGCGGCACCAACAATGAATTTATTTGCATTGATACTTTGAGTTGAAGCTAGAAATCAACAACTAAAAAATTTTTACTGCCTAAGTTGGTTATTATAAAGTTGGTGTTTGATGTCAAATTTCATAATTGACATCTGGCAGTCAGTCTGTTAAGTAAATATAAGTAAATTGTGCTTGAGAAAAAGCTGAACTTTCTCCTTACTAAATGACCGACCAAGATTTATTATCAGTAGGCATAATTTCAAGGTATTTTTTCCTACTATATGTTCACCTAATACAAGGCCCAAATGCCACTCAAGGTAGCATTACAGAATAAGGTTGTTGTATAGATATAAGGAGAAAGAAATAAGTGCAGATTATGAGGATATTTAGGATAGATAATGGTTGAGGCCTAGACTTGAAGTGGTTAAGATTGTAGTAATCAGGGAAGCATCCCCGCAGGAGTTCATTCCACAAACTAATGGTGCTTGAGAAGAAGTTGAACATTCTCCTAATTAATGGAATACAAAGTGACTGAAGTAAAAGCCTTGCAGCACTAGTGGAACTAGGGAGTGTAGTTCGTCTGAACATTTGCCATGGAAATAGCTGTAGTGTAGCAATAGACTTGTGACTTGTCATCCATTTTTTATAATTATATGCTTTGATATTCAGACCAGCACACTCATCTTCATTATTATATTCACAACATTTCGGCCACTGTATACCCTGGCCTTCTTCAGGTGTCTATCATATACTTTGATATTCAGACCAGCACGCTCATCTTGGTTATTATATTCACTTCCTATCTCTTCATACTTTGCTTAATTTCTGAAAGGCATTTTTTATTATTCATCTATACCTCTGGATTTTTGTATCACACTTTGCTTTGTTTGATAGTTACATTTCTGTATCTGCTCGATTTTGACATGTATGTAGCTCACACCTTGAACTGCCTCTTTTGCTAACGACCAGGATGTGGAATTAGTAAATACTAACCAATTCAAGGTACCTTGGAAGCAGGTAGACATAGTGGGGGCAGTTCAAAAGCTGGACGAACAACAACAAAGAATGAACTAGGAGAGACAATCCAGTGCTGTTTCATGAGACAAAAAACAGATCTAGTTGGCAGCTGACTGCATCATTGTCACTCATGTCTCCTCTATGATCAGTTTGGTCAGGCAAAAGGAGATAGAACGAGGAAAAATTCAAACAATAATAAATTCAATGGAATAAATTCCTTAAGTCCCCAAAATCTTGAAGAAGACCATCAGACCCTAGAGGCTGGTACCACACAATGCCAAAGTGCTTTCCTAAATAACAAAAAAAACTGCATCCAACAACAACAAAAATGGCTGGCACATGTAACTGGAAGGGAAAATAATAATAAAATCAAAATGTTGACATTCCACACTACCTTAAACAAAAGCTTAGGAAGGAAACTCCCATCAATACTAGAAAGAGTAATAAAAAGCTACTGGACTTGAGAAGAGAAAATAATGACATAATCAAGATGTTGACATTCCATACTACTTCAAACAAAAGGTTAGGAAGGAACATGTATTCTTTGGTTTAGATTGGTTTGGTTTATTTTGTTTAACAGCATATCAACCTCAATGGGTTATTTAGTGCCGACAACATTTTTATTGCTGGTAATATTTTGTTTTGTCAAAAATCTGTTTCTGGTAATATATTTCCTTCAAAATTGTATTGCCGGTAATAATTTTTTTAAAAAAGTATTGCTGGTAATAGTTAACTATTTGCCCATAGCTGGGACCCTAACAGGTGCTACCACTCTGGGTCAAGGTGGACCTGGGAACACCAGCAATTAAGAGGTGGTTCCATGCTCCTCAAAACCTCCTGATCAGAGGCCTTACTGCTGGACGTAGTTTAACATCTTACCCAGGACGCAGATGTAGTTTAACGTCTCACCCAGGACAACAATAATAATCTGATGCAATGTGACTAAATTCAATCGCTTGAAAGATTGTTCTCTAATAGGTTTTAAGAATTTGCATTTGTTTTTTTTGTTTTTTAATAGTGAATTGATATGCAATTATGTGGAACAAATAGGATTTTATTTACTCTCTGCAAATGGGCCTGAATTTGAAATGTAGATAAGTACAAAATTTATGTCCGTTGATTGGATTGATTTCTTTTTAATGTTTGTCATCAATCTTATTCTTTTTTTGTTTTGCTTTTTAACATAGTTATTTTTTTCTTTATTATAAACATCTGTTACAGTTGCAATTTAACATTTAAATAATACTGACATGTTCATTATCATTTTTAGCTTAGATTCACAAGTTTGACATCTTAGGGTTTTTATTGTAACTACTAGTTTACTGCTGATCAAAAACAACACATCCCCATTATTGTTTCTTGATGTCAATCTCAACTAGGGTATGCCTGGTCCTGTCACACAGTTGGTTGGTGGAGACAACTTCTGGCCACCTGATATTGAGGATGTTCCTGAGACATCGGTTGGTAAATGTTTGGGGGTGTTGGTCTTGCTTACCAGCCAGATTTCTGAGCCGTAAAGTAGGATTGACTTGACTTTGGTGTTAAAGATCCAGATCTTGTTATAAAGATCCACATCTTGTTATAAAGTGAGGAGGGTTGTTGATCTCCAGGTTGGTCACAGAGTGTTAAAAGTATGTCAGGATCTTTTAAGAATAGTATTTTTGGTTATCAAAATTTTATTCCATCTCTACCAACCCTGAACTTGGAGATATATATATATATATATATATATATATATATATATATATATATATATATATAGGTGGTGCAGTGGAGTAGTGAATAGTAGCTTGGATTGAGGAATTGGAGAGCCAAGTTTGAATTCAGTCAAATCCATTACATACACTTACGTGCTGATACCCTTGGGAAAGGTGTGAATCCTCTTCTTCTCCCTCCAGCTACGGGTAAATAGCAAGAGAGAGTGGGTTCTATAGCCTTGGATAGTAACTGGTCTAGGAGAAGGACAACTCTGAATTCAAAACCCGAGGAGGGTTGTTTGGGGACCTTGTGGTACATAGTGCACCAGGTCTCTGTATTCGGCCCTTCAAAAAGTGTGTTTGGTTCTGCACAAAGCTTTCACCACTATAATCAAATCATATGTGCTGGTGTCTGGCTATCGGTTCATAGGAACTAAACTGCTTGACTCTCATATGTATATATATATATATAATTATTTATTTAAAAATTATAA